AAGGCCCCAGTTGCTGCGTTCGCATGGCACCGCCGCACCCCTTTCGAGACACCCCTCATACGTTTCGCCCTACTGGGTCTCGGCGACGCTGTGGAAAAAACACGACGTCGGGGGTCTGGGTACCACGTCGGGACTCCCTCCAGGCCACGATCCAACGTGGTACGGTGCATAACTGCTCGGTCCAGAGGGCTGTAAAACCATGCTCCGTACGAGTCTTCGGGCTGCGCACAGGCAGACCTCAAAAGCAGTCCTGGCTGGCCTCAACAAGCTCCCCGAGTAGTCCGAGCTCGGTCTCTACACCCTGGCGCCGCCTGAAGCGGCGCCCATGGGGCGCTCCGCGTCCCAAGTTCAGGTGTGGAGACCGCCCCAAACCACTCTGGGGGCCTCTTTGAGGCCAGCCGGGACTACCTGGTGTGTGTGTGTGTGTGTGTCTGTGCGCATCCCCGAAACCTTACCAGATGTCATGATGCGATTGGCTCAGGGTGCGCTGCAGGAGCTGCGGGCTTCCTCGTTTCTGGAGCCCGTGCGGTGCAATGAGGGATCGTGGCCATTTGGTATCTTGGAGACCCTTACCCATCTCGGTCGGAAGAAGTAGGTAGAACCACGAAGTAGGAAGGCGTTGGAAGTATATTGGGTTTCCGCCCGCTTCCTGTAGAGGAGGGGAGAGGGAAAATCATTCGACTCTTGAAGTAGGAAGGCGGCTAAAGTAGATTGGGCACTGGGAATGCCAAAATACCTACTTTCAACGACCGATGGGTATTACTATGACTTCTTGCTCCAATGATCACGGTGTGCGCGAGAAAATCACGGCCTTGTGTACCGTCGTCGTAATGACAATGCGTGAGCCCAACTGTCGCACGCGGGGATCCGGCCAGTTTGCGGCCAGCGCCCTGGCTACGTCGCGCCACCAGAGATTGGAGGCTGGGGTGTAACAAGTTTCCCAGGAAGGCCGCCCCGACTGGGGAATCATAGCTCGGCGGCGAGCCTGGGGAGGAAGTGTGAAGGGGCGGCTTTCTCAGAAGGCTCGGAAGTCCCCCAGCCTTCTGAGAAGCTTTCTAAGCCTTCCCCGAAGGCAGAGAAAACTTCTCAGAAGGCGCGATGGCTTCTGGGAAGTCCCGCCGCCTTCTGAGAAGGCCTTCTCCTTCTCACTTCCCCCCCCTCGCTCGCCGCCGAATAGCTGGTGTTCGTGTCGTGCGCGACGTGCGTGCAAAGCTGAGCGCGAGTAGCCTGTGCCCGCAAGGCGGCAGACTTCTTGCCCCCCGTCTGCTGCGGGCCGCGGGCGCGTGCTGCCTCGCTGGCGCCTCGTCGCAATCCCGACGGTGTCGTGGGGTGCCATGTGGTCTTGGCGTCCGTGCTTGTGCTCTTAGCTTCGAGTCGTGTTTCCCGAGCAGTGCTTGCACGAGGGGGTGGTGCTTGCTTTTGTTCCCAACTGGCTGGCGTTTCCAGGTGTTCCCCCAGGTGTTAGGTCGGCCGTGTCCTCCTACAGGCGGATTCTGCGCGGACAAAGCAAAAAAATAGCCAAACAATAATCACACAATGTCCGAATCTATTCAAACAGCCGTCCCCAGACTATGTTTTGAATATTGAGTTTTTCCTCCTGTAGAGGGACACGCCCGGCTTAAAGCCCAGTGAGCGCCCGCGGCCGCCCAATGGCAGCGCGCGCGGGGCCTGGCGCTGGCTGGAGGCAGGCGCAGCCTGCGCCGCATAGCTTGCACCGAATGGATTGCCTCGCATGGCATGAGCCGCATGCTCTTGGTTCCTGAATGCGCGTGGGGGGTACGCCCCTGACGGGGCTCAACCTCGCCTCGTCGTCGCGCCGCGACTGGGGTCCGAGCACCTTCGGCGCGCGGTGGCTGCCCGTAACGGGGGTCGATGCGGGGCTGTCGGCGGTGGTGAGGCCCCCCCGACGCCTACTAAGAAACTCGGGGTACGGTGGAGGCCCGACCACAAGAAACCTTCCATAAGAAATCTAACCCTGAGACCCCAGGACGTCCATCGGTCTTCGGTGTGGGAACGTCACGCTCTCCATGGCAAGACCATCGAAACCCAAGACACCCAGTTACAATCACCCTGGAGGCAAACAGGATGTTTCTTGGCATGGGTCTCCACTATAGCTTGCACCGCGTGGGAGTCCACCACACAGGTCCGCTGGCGCTGCGGCACACAGCCTGCAGTTCAAGGCACTCCAGATCCTGAGTTCCCTGAAACAAGCAAGCTTTCCCACCACCGAGGCCAAGGTTATCCGCTCCCCTCCACGTTTGCCTTCTCATATTATGCTGCACGAGCGTTCATTATAAGACGAACTAGCACAATAACATCCAGCGCGGTATCGCCTCTATTATCCCCGTCGATGCTATGCACACGCGTTGCTTTAACACGCGCACTTGGTCATACTCCCTGAATCACCAACTGTTACCATGTGGACCATATGCACGCGACCCCGCGCGCGCATGCCTACACGATTCAAAACACATGAGTTTAAACATCTATGTCTCCATGCATGCATACCTTGTCGGCTACTATTCATACCCATTGTTTTGCAACATAAGAGTGCTAACTGTCTGAGCGCGCGCGCACGCTGACATCGGCGACGATGCCACCAACCTCCTGGGGGACCCGCTCCTCCTCGGTGTCGCTGGGTCGGGCACCTTGCCCGAGACGAACCAGGGTGGCGAAAACGAATTGTATCAAGCTCAATTATTTGCAGATACTACTCCAGACGGGGATCTCAGTCCATGCGAATGCGACCATATTTTGGAGACACAGGCTCACGTTGACATGTGGGATCCGTTGGTCGGTGGGGTGAACGACCACAGAACGGGAAAGAAATCAACTGTCAGGGCCGCTGCGGGGAACCGCCATGACCAGCTGAAGTCTGAAATTTCATCGATTCGTGCTGCAGTTCTGGAGATGTCCAAGGCTGTGGGGGTGAAGGTCGAGGTGACTGAACAAGCTCCAAGGAACAAGAAGCGTACAGTAAAACAAGTTTCACCTACCTTACTGCAGCTCAAGGAGTGGCTCCAATGGGTTGAGAACAAGAAAATGGTGCTGTCCGAGGCGCGGGTGGTTTCTGGATTGCGAAAAGTTCTGGACTCCAAACAACCTTCGACACCCGCCCAGCCACAACAGCAAGCGCAAACAAGGGACAAGCGTCCCTTCCTGACGCCTCAGCAGTGACAGGGGTCTCCAATTGTGAAGGCCGCCAGCGTTCGGCAAGCTTCCTTTCAGTTACCGACGGTGGTCACGTGCCAGTCGCCAGAGGGTATCTCTTCGACTTCGTCAATTATATATGTGATGTTCAATCAGTCTGCTCTCCTGGACGGCTGGACGGCCTCGGAGGTGAGGGTTGACTCCCAGACGGGCGGCTCCCGCCCTATCCGAGCACAGCTGCTCCATGTTGGTGGTGAATCACCTTCTCGGGGCGGCCTCCCTTCAGGTCTCAACGATGATGAAGCTATTGCCACACCTACTTTGCCTACGAGCGCGATGCGGCTGACTGTGGCCCTCGACTTCTCAGACGATGATCTATTCAGCGGTGCTCGTGAACAGCCTGTTTCACTTCCTTCACTTCTCTTCGGGAATGGGATGACACAGGATCTTCTCAAGACGAAAACTGCGGTCGCCCACGACATGGAGGTTACCTGCATTTTGATCATTCGCCAAGCGGACGTGGGCAATTTCCTGCACTGGAAACCGCCTCGAGTGGTCTTTCTTAACGTCCAGGGGAGCAAACTAGTACCTGTGTGGCATCGGCTACGGGATGCAGAAGCTCTTCCTCTATATTTTTTCACGCGTGTCGGCTGCGGCGGGACTTGCGTCGGGGAGGCTCGTGTACAGACCTTGCCACGATTCCAGCCTCGGCGTCTTGAGTCAGAAACCCGTCGCGGGGGACATCCTCCCGCGGTGGCGGCTTCAGAGGTGTCCTGAGTCTTGGACTGACGAAGCAGAGGTGAAGGCATGGGCGACCCAACGTGGATTTGTCAACGTATTGGCCATCAGTCGAACCTCGGAGCGTACTTGGCATATGCGTGCGGATCTACCATGCGCCCCACGTGATCAGGTCAGTAATCTAAAATCTGGTATTATTGCTGCGTTGGCGCCTCCCCGTCGGGGCCTGGCGAGGCCAGCTCCGAAGTCTAAGGGGACTACGGCATGGGGTACACCTGCTCCTGCTCGGCCCGCCCTTCCTGAACCGAAGTCTACGGTGGCTCTCGGCACGGTAGACAAGGGTGGCGATGTCTCCATGTCAGCAGGCACGGGTGGGGCTGCCCCAGCAGCGGCGGCGGCCTCAGATGGGCAGCCGCCCCCACCTGCGCCTGCCCCAGCGCAACCAGTGGCGGTCGTCGAGCCACCCTGGAAGAAATATTTTGGCAAGCTCGACTGCGGCGGGGAGGGGGATTGCCTTTTTCTGTGCGCGGTGACGGGCCAGAGACGGAAGGCCACCAAGCCGAGGCCCTGTACGCCAGCAGACCTTAAGCCTGGTGGCCCTCTTCAAGCGAATATGCGCACCCTGGTTGCTAGCGAGATCCGCAACCACCCTAAGCGATGCACGAACGCGACGGAGCTGGCTGAGGCTGCCTCCAAGACGGGTAAGTACGCCACATCCGACATGGTGATGGGCTCTTGCTTATGTCTTGAAATCCGATATCATTATCTTCAAGAAGAACGATAAGTCCTGGCAGGTCTACCAGGCTCCGCGGGAGATCAAGACCAACACCAAGACTTGCGTCACGCTCGAGAACTTCCAGTATTCGTTGTTAGTTCGCAATGATACCCCTCTACCTGATTATGTGGAGAAGGAATGGTTTGCGTCGGCCTACACTTATCCCTCAAAGTTTACATCGTCGTTGATTGGAGGTGGTCGCAGTACGTCTTCCAAGACCAACGCTATCAATATCAAGAAAGCTAGGAACTTGTTGGGCTTGCCTACACCGTCGAGGGCGTCAGCAGAATCTTCGTCAGGGCGTTGGGTTTGACTCGATCTTCGACGACTCGTGGAGCCCGTACCGCTCGTGCTCATAGTCTTCTTGGAGTTGCAGAGTCAGCTGTGGTACCAGCGCCGCCTGATGATGAAGTTCTTTATCAAGATGTGGATGGAGTCCCAGAGTCTCATGAGTCTGTGGCGGTTCCCCAACGTGGATCTTATCACGCTTGCCCCTGTGGTTGGCAACCGATTATCGAGGGCAGGTCGAACGAGATTGCCCAGCAGGCCATTGCACACTGGCGTCGCTGTCAGGGTACGGCTCCGCCGAAGGTGCCTGCTGAGGTCAAGAATCTTTGTTCCATGAATAAGACGGCCATAATCCGAGCGCACCGTGCTCGGGCTTGGGCGAAGTACGAGAAGTGGTATGGTTCTTTGTCTGCCGAGCTTCGCCCTTTGGCCTGCGCGCTCAGAGAGGATCACACCGAGACCAAGCATTACTGGAGTAACTCCGAAAGGCGCAAAATGACACAGCTTCGTTTCATTTGCTCGAAGTGTGGCAAGACGCGTCCCATCCACTTGTTTGTCCCCGCGGCTGCCTGGACGCCTTGCGGTTCGAGGGTCGGCATTCACGTCAAAGACGCCCACGCCAAGATCATGTCGGCGGCCCAGTTGGCGAAGATAAAAGATGCCAAGGAGAAGGCGAAGGAGAGGAGTCGGGCCAAGACTCGGGCTCAGCCTGGCCGCTTCACTGGCAGGTTCAATATTTCCTGGAATAACATGTCCCCTGAGGCTACGGAGAAATATAGGGTGAGGCAGCGCGAGTGCAACAAGCTGCACGGCAAGCGCAACAAGGCAAAGTACCATGCGAAGCTCGCTGCCAAGCGGGCTACGTTTCTTGGCAAGTGCGTCTTGAGGAGGCCTGCGGCGGTCTGCAAAAGGCCAGCGGCGGCCCCCGCCGGCGCTTCCTGCCCCTGGAAGCTCGCTCGGGCCTGACGGGGCCCGCTCCTAGGAGGGGGCTCTCAGGGCCCCCCAGAGCCCAAGCGACCGCGCCTACGTTCACCGTTTGTGGCGAGGGCGACTACGCGAAGGACGGCTACGGGTTCGGTACCTTCACCTTCAGCTAAGCGGCGCCGTGCTTCAAGTTCGGCATCTTCTACTTCGGCGGTGGCTTCATCGCCTCCACCTTCTGCTTCCGCTTCGGCCTCGGCAACGGCGTCATCGCCTCCACCTTCGGCACCTTCTACTTCGCTGAGGGGGGCGGCTTCCTCACTGCGGCGGGCAGCTACGTCGTCTACAATTTCTTCCTGAAGCTGCAAGCGGCCTCGGCCTGGAGCGCCGCAATCGTCGCCACCAGGCGTGGGCTTCGCCATTGCAAGTGCCACCGCCACACGCGAATTAGGCCTGGCCAGTGCCACCGCCACGGGCGAATTAGGCCTGGGCGAAGCCGCCGCCGTTGCCAGGGTGCGGCTCGAAAGCTCAGATATAGTTATTGATTCAGATTCTGCTACTTCAATTTCACCGTCGGCTCCTTCTTCGAGTTCGGCTGCTTCTTCAAGTCTCACTGCTCCTCCAACTGGGGGTGCCAAACGAAGGGCTTCATCTTCATCGGGGGTCTCTATCAAGAAAAGAGAGATGGCGACTACCGCGGAGGACTCGGACTTCTCGGATATGGTTCCTGGTGTCGAGCCTGAGAGCGAGAGCGAGTCCCTTCGCGTCGTCGCGTTGAACGTCACCTGCCTCGCTACGGCGCGCCTCGAGGCCACCATCCTGAAGCATCCTGATGCTGAGCGCGCAGGTGTAATCCCACCAGCCCTTTGGGCGTGAGTGGTTTAGCGAGCTCTCTCTGTTCTCAACCCCCCATTCTTCCCCTTCGGGGAGGGGTTTACCCCTCCCCCTACCCCCTCCCCCTGGGCCTGGAGAGGGCGGGCCGAGCGTCGTCAGGGGGGTCTTTTTTGACTCCTTGGAGGGCTAAAAAACAACGACCCTCACGAGGATTCTGGCCCCGACGGGGGGGCCCAGTTCGGCCCCTCTGCTCTTCTTTCCAGCCAAAAACATTGATTTTACGACGGTTTCGGCCCCATTTTGGCGTTCTGAAGGGGGCCGCGCTCATCTTCCTTCATAGCAAAATCATTGTTTTTACGAAGGTGTTGGGCTCATTTTGTTCTTCTCAGGGGGCAGCTCTCATTGGCGCTTCTGAGGAGGTCGCAAGAGGCCCCAAGATGGCCCCAAGAGGCCCCCTCCCAAGAGGCCTCCAAGAGGCCCCCAAGAGGCCCCCAAGAGGCCCCAAGAGGCCCCCAAGAGGCCCCCAACAGGCCCCCCAAGAGGCCCCAGGAGGCCCCAAGAGGCCCCCAAGAGGCCCCCAAGAAGCCCCCCCAAGAGGCCCCCAAGTGGCCCCAAGAGGCTCCAAGAGGCCCCCAAGAGGCCCCACGAGGAGCCCGACCGACTCACACCAGGACGAGGGGCCCGAACGACTCACACCACGAAGATCCCGAACGACTCGCACCACAAGGAGGGGCCCGAACGACTCACACCAGGACGAGGCGCCCGAACGACTCACACCACGAGGAGCCCGAACGACTCACACCACGACGCGGGCCCCGAACGACTCACACCACGAGGAGCCCGAACGAGTCACACCAGGAGGAGGGGCCCGAACGACTCACACCAGGATGAGGGGCCCGAACAACTCACACCACGAGAAGCCCGAACGACTCACACCAGGACGAAGAGCCCGAACGACTCACACCACGAAGAGCCCGAACGACTCACACCAGGAAGAAGGGCCCGAACGACTCACACCAGGACGAGAAACCCCAAACGACTCAAATCACGAGGAGCGCTTTCTCTGCCTCCTCCTCCGCCTCGTCCTTCTCCCGCCCCCCCACAAGGAGGATGTGCAAGGAGGCGGGGGGAAGGAGGAACAGGGGAGATATGCGGGGCCATGCGGACGCACGCCTGAAAAACACGACTGTCGGCATGCTTCGCAAGAGTTGCTGCTGTGAGATGGGCTGGTGGGGATACGCGAAGCGTAAAGAATTTTTCTCCAGGAAGTCCGTCTGGCGGATTTTCGACGGCGCTGGGTGGTGGCCACGGCCGCAGCCCCTGGATGGAGCGTCGCGTGCGGCGAGCCACCTCCGCCTTCGGCGCGCACGGCAGTTTCCCATGGCGGCTGTGCTGTTCTTTGGCGACGGTCTCTTGGACGAGTTCACGCCGTTCGTGATCAGTGGTGCCATCGTCGCATGGTGGGCATTCGCGCCTCCAAAACCACGCTGCTCTGAGTCTACGGGCCCCGAGGGCAGGACTCGGGTTGGTTTCGGCAGGCTTTTGATTACTTCGGTACTCTGGGTCACCTTGGCCATCTTCTGTCTATCGTGGGAAACTTGAACTGGAAGCATTGCTATACTCGCCATCGCTCGGACGTCCATTCCGTGTTTTTTTTCCGGTTTCGTGCGTGGTTTTTCCCGTCAATGATCAAGGATGCTCATCAATTGTCCTCGCCGAAGGAGATATGCACGCGTCCGAGCGCTGCCAAGTATACGCGTATTACCTTTGGGCTGGCAGCTGGATGTCACGACAGACGGTCAGCCTCCTGCAACTACGTCGGTTGGCACCGCGCCCGCCAGGGCCCTTTTCCGAGGACCGCCTAAGGCCCAGGCCCCTCGGCATGTGGGATCTACGGCTTTGCCAGGTATCCCGGGGTCCCGCGCCATTGCTTGACGGCCTATGCCCTCGACGCCCCCTTCGCCGATGCACCTCGGAAGCGCCTCAAACACGCCGCGTCCTTCGTGGAGGTCCGTGGGGCGAGCGAGGCGGAGATCCGGTTGATCAAAGATTTATTGGGCCAAGAGGCCGCCGCTCCCCGGCCCCCCATCTCGACGGTCACATCGGCTTAGACTTGGATGGCAATATTGGCCCTGCGGTCTTGCAACGTTGGAAGTTTTGGCATGAGAGGGCGGAGTGCGCTCTCATGGTTGCGGTTGAAGGAGGGGTGGTTGATGATGATCGACCCCCTTAGCGGCCTAAAGGCTCTTTCCCTTCACAGCGGCTGGTAGCTACCTCGCCGAAGTTTCGCTTGGACCAGTCGATTGTTCACCGCCGTCTGCTACGACTTCGTCGGATATTCTCTCAGTACCTTCGGGAAGGGAACTCGGCAGCATATGTATTGTTACCGAAGCACCATCGTGATCTTGCTCAGGCGGCAGCGGATGGAATCCTTCGTGCTGTGGCCAACGGGTTGCCCACTTATGCTGATGCATTGGCGTGGCTATCCACTGCCATTACCTCGGAGGAGCAGAAAGCTCAGAGATCGGCACGTAGACAATGGCAGGATAAATTCGCTGAGTGGTCTTCTACAATTTGGTCCGTAGCGACACCGTTATTCAGACAAGTGGGTTTACCGGCTATGCCCGCATCAGAAACGCGCGAGCCGTGGGAGGCCCAGTGGTGTCCTACTGATGACAATGCTAAGACTCACAACGATACTTGGAAGCGGCATGCGAGCGGGGTTGCTTTCCCTGTCTTCGAAAGCAAAGGATTGGGCCCCGTCCAGAGTCGACTACGACGCCGCGATCCTGAAGTCCGAGGGCTGCCCGGGCCTGGATGGTTGGAGCTATCGCGAACTACGCCTTCTTCGGGAACTTTTTCCAGCAAATATTGATAAACTGCATGCTCTTTGGGTCGACGCGTCCAAGGACTGCGTCGAACGCAAGGGGGAGCTAGACGCCGAACTACTCGACTTCGTCTTCGGGCGGCGAGTGGCTGGCCTCCCGAAAGGGGAGAATGTCACTCGGCCCCTCTAGGTCGGGTCTGTCCTGCTACGGTCTTGGCTTGAGGCTTTGTCCAGGGCGGCCCCTCAACCTCCTTCAAATCAGTGGGCTAACAGAGCTTGCACTAGTGTTGCGCATGCTGTGACCTCTTGGCTGTGCCAATGCAGCGAGGGCACGATGGCGCGGAGCTGGGCCTGAGCCGTGCCTACGACAACATCCACCACGACACCGCCCTGGAGGCCCTGGAGTATTCGGTGATGCCAGGCGTCATGATCTATGCGTGTGCTGCGGCGTGGGCGGGACCACGCCACTGCTCTATTGCTGGTGAACTGGCTCCTCCTATTCTCCCCTGGCGGGGGTTGCCGCAAGGAGACAGTACTGCGCCAGCATAAACGTTTGCAACTTTACTTCCTTGGCAGCCTTACGGGGGCAGCAGTTGTTGTATGGACGATAGGTCCCTGGTGGCGGATAGTGATCAGAGCCTCCAGAGCGACCTGAAGCTCACCGCCGACTTCGACGACAGCGTTGGTCTCGCGGAGAACAATAGTAAGCGCCAGGTTTGGTCTCGCGATGCTGCTGATCATAAACCTGTAGAACATCTTGGCGTGTTGGCAGTACCTACCGACCCTTCGATTGCAATTGTACCTCGCCAGCGCTGGGATCAAGTCATCTGTGCTATTTCGATCTTGGCTAGTATCCCTGGCTTGGCCTTGGTGAGGACCAGGTTCGCGTACGCCTACATCAAGCCCCTGTGGATCTGGGCGAGCGTTGTGGTGGTCCCACCGCCTTTGGAGCTGGCCGCGAAGGTGGCCAGAACTATCTGGCGTACCCAAAGTGATTGGTGGTGTCTTGGTCGTTACTGGTCCCAATGCATCTTGCTACACCCCACGTGCAGCTCGGCTATCAAGGCCTTTAAAAACGATCGCGTACGAGAAGATTGTGCGGCCTCCGTTCTTGGGCACTTCTATGCCTGCTCATGCTGGAGCACTTGGTATGCGTTTCATGCGTTATTCGGAGGAAAGAGGTTGTTTAGTGGAGGTGGCCCCGATGCCCACTTTCATTGTTTTTTGATTCGCGGCCCGCAAGGAAAAGTCCAGAGAGCGGTGTGAACGAGGCTGG